ATTTGGTACTGAAATAGTTTTAAAAGGAATTTACATTCAGTCACATTGATATTTTGTAAATTCACAATGTAAAGTACATGTACTTTGAAAAGGCTGACATAAAAACAGACTGACGGCAAATTCAAAAGTACATGTAAAGTCTAAAATTGTTTCAATAAATAAACAATGAAACATGTAATGAAACACGTACATGTAAAGTCTAAAAATTTTTCAATAAATAAACAATGAAACTCACAATAAAAACAACAGATCTTCATACCAGGAGTAACAGGCAGAGGTGGTGTCTTGACAACATCCTTGATAACTGCGCATACATCCGGAACCAGCCCATCTCCCATGATAAAAAAATAATGTAGTATTCTGGAAAAGGGATTGGTTTCCAATAATAATAAAAATTTCAGTATTCTAATTCATGCTTTGACATCCAACCACTTCCCCTGCAGAAAATCTGCACAATATGGAACACCATTGCTGAGCCCAAGGACTTGTCTTTAGTGTTCTGTGACGTGCATAATTATGTGGGCACTGGGTTTTGATTGTTACTGGATTTAAATATTCAACAAAGCCTCTATGAGTGTGCCAAATGCAGGCTCTTTACTACTGAATAAATCACAGGTAATACTTGTGACTTTTCGTGTGCTCGATTTTAAGTGAAAAGTGGAATTAACCAATCTATACAGTAAAAGTAAATCCCTAGTTCCCAAAACCTCTCACAAACCCAGTACAACTGTGGTCTATCCAAGCATTATTTGATATGATTCACTTGGACTTCAAGCATTATCCTTACCATACCCATGTAACTGACGATCAGTTCTTTCAAGGAGCTGCCCTGGAAGAGACTCGCCCATGGAGTCCATGGCACACTGTGAAAGGTGCAGTCGTGGGTGAGTTTCTGTCCAAACAAACAAATTCCAATAAGCTTCTTGTCATGGATTGCATGTCACGGACCAAATAAAAGCACCGGCGCCGTGAACCTAAATAATCTTCCAACCACTTTTTACAGCCCATGACAATTAAATATTAAGAGACAAAAAGTTACACATTTTACAAATGCAACTTTCAACCTGTGCATATATATATGTTCAAGTGTTTTGTTGTAAATTTTATGAAAAGCTGTTGCTAAGTTCATAGTCAACAATTACAAAGTTATTTTTGTGTGTTAATCATTTCTTAAGTTTGATCCTTTGTGATACATGTACACTTGCTTCTCTGAATTTCGGAATCCTTGTCCACATATCTAAAATTTTAATTGTAATTATAATTATATGATTTCTGCCACAAATTTTGACTTTTGAAGAAAAAAAAAAGATATAGCAGCCTACATGTACTTTCGATATACAGCCAAAGTAGTTATTGACTTCAAGTCCTTTGAATAATACAGAGCAACGTCACGACAATGAACACAATATAACAATATAACAACATTCATGCAAAATTCCCTGAAGCGATTACCAGTTGCCCACAAATCCATTCCCCACCCGGCCCATTGAAATAGGGGGATGAACATGATGAACATTTCCATTGCAAAAAATCAAGTAAAAAAGAAGGAACACTGAAATACATGTATGTGGATTTTCTTCAAGGCATGACCATCTTCCATATCTCATCTTCAAGGTAGTTGTCAGTAGAAGCCAAATCCCGAAATAACAAAAAGGTTTGCAAGTTTTCCTTCAGTCATCTCTCAAAAATGCCCTATGGTCATGGTAGTATCCCTTTCTAACATGAAGCTTTAATAGATGTGTCGGGAACCATCAATTGAAAGCAAACAAAACTATGTAATGAAGATTTCTGTAAGTTAAGTGGCAAAAATTAATCTACTGGAATGTGTACTTTTCACTTTCATTTTATAACAAGGTAAAAATCTTTACCTTTGTAGTGATGACCAGCAAGAGTTTCCACATCAGCGTTTTCCATATTGCCTCCATGTACTCAGTGGCTGGTCTACACAGCTACCCATTCTCGCATTACACATGTGCCTATGAATGATGCAGATCCAGGTACTCAGTAGCTGGTCTACATAGCCAACCATTCACGCATTACACACATGCTGACAGTAGCTCCTCTGAAAGTAAAATCATTATCATCAGTCCTTTAAATGTTTCTTTTATGTAAAGCAAAGTTTCTGTGTCCTCTGAAAGTAAAAGTGTTCTTAACTTTCAAGTCATTATCATTAAAGCAAAGTTTCCATGTTCAGTAAATGTACACAGAAAATTCAGGAGCCATCTTGTTCCATCATATTAACAGAATTTGAAGCAAACTAAGCCTATCATTAAAACTGTTCCTACTTGGAGTGAGCTGGCTATTGCTGAATTACAATGTTGTTTTGCTTGTACTGATAGGGACCTGTTGTATGACCCTGATGATATTCATGGCAGCACTGAGGCCATTACTGGTTATGTAACTTTTTGTGAAAGATCCTGTATTCCCAGGAAGACAATTAACATTTATGGCAAGGACAAACCATGGTTCGGAGGTAAGATTAAAGCAAAGTTGAGAAGTAAGCAAGATGCATGGCAGCAGCAGGATGAAAGTGCCTACAAAAAAAGTTAAATATGAACTCCATAGAGCCATCAAA